CTAGATGCCGCCGTTCTGCCCTGACAGCGCTGACATCTGGCCGCCGCTCAGGTGGCACGGTGGGGTGCGTGGCGGTGGCTGTGGCTACGGCTATGTCAAGTTTGCGGTCCCGCAGCGAGTGGTTCAGCCTTCCGCGGTCAAGGTCGTGTTGCACGGCTTGACGCAGACTTGCAGCCCAGGCCACCACCTCGCCAGCACTCGCATCGTTGTACCCCCGAACTTCTTGAGTCGGGTACGATGTGCATACACTGGCTACTGGTTGGAGATGGCTCGCTCAAGAACGCACACCTGTGGTCTACTCTACCGGTTGGCGCTCAGTTCAGCCACCTCATTGGATGAGTGCGACCCCGCAGTGGTTGGTTGGGCCTGCAACATGTCAGCGCAGCCCTGGACATCAGCTCGCTTCTACGTGGTCCACCTACCTTGTGGCGTCAGTGAGTTCGTTGCGACAGGCCCCCTTTTTGCCTCACCATTGTACATGGTTTCGCCTTGTGTGTGCTGGTCGCTCGCTCTCGCTTTCGCACTGTCAGCTCGAGTCAGGCGCCGCATCGGCGACTCACTCTGCTGTCTTCGCACTTGTAGCTCGTGCCCTTCGGTTCGCTGCTGCGCCTATGTGCGTTTGTTTGCGAATTCAGTTCATTTTGTATTGTGCATGTGCAACTGCGAGCATGCCTTGCAGGTGCGGGCGGCTGTCGACAGCGACGGCTGGGTTCGCAAATTCCCTCCGTACCGCATCCCGGACGCTGCGTCGGCCGCCTGACATTTGCTTTGGAGCCGCGAACCAACAAAATATCCCCGCCAGCCCGTCTAGACACGAGGCCCAGGGGAGTGGAGGTGATGAGGGAAACGGGGGAGCATGCAGAAAAACAAGGGCGGGGTAAGCCGCCGTATGCCCCAAGGGGGGAGGATGTAGGAGGATTCGTCGTCGTCGGAGTAGGAGGAGGAAGAGGGGGAACAGGAGGAGGAGCAGGAGGAAAAGGGGGAAGAGGAGGGGAGCCTTCGGGGCACTCTTGGGGCCATGTTGGAGGACATCTATCAAAGAAGGGGTGGGTGGGAGTTTGCGCTGCCTCTCTAGAGTGCCTCGAAGCGCCTCTTGGGCATCGAAAGAGGCGCCAAACTCTTTCGAACACCAAAGGAAATCATTGTTTTGTGTTTTTTTGATTTCCCGCCTTTTCGCTCTTGGAGCCGTCTTGGACCATCTTGGGCGCCCCAACGACCCGCGGACCCCCCCGTCCAGGTCCAGGAGAGGGGGTAGGGGGAGGGGTCAAGACCCCCCCCGCCCGCAAGCCGTCTCGCTCACTCCCGCCCGCCCTCCCAACACATACAGAGTGCTCATTTCTACTTCGTGTGCTGCACGTGGCCTCCGCCGCCCCTTCGGCGCGCTTGATTTCTAATTCGTGGCCGGAAATTCAAATGACCGGAATTAGACATGAACGCGCTTGTTAGGCCCCGGAGGCCCCAGGGCAAATGTATTCGAGCGCGCGCCCGAGTCTGGATCTGGGGCGCGCCATCCTCGATCGGGCACGCGTAGACGTGACGCGCAAATCCTGCGTGTCGCGCAAACGTGACGCGCAAAATCTGCGTGTCACACGGAGCGCGCCTGGGGCGGGACACGCAGCATCAGGGGGGCTGACACGCAAAATCTGCGTGTCGCACGCCGGGGGTGTCGGGGTGGGGACACGCAGAATCTGCGTGCCACGCGGGCCCACCAGGGGGGCGGTAACGCAAAATCTGCGTGTCGCACGCCAGGGTCCTGGGGGCCGGGGTGGGGACACGCAGAATCTGCGTGTCACGCGGGCCAAAAATCTACGTGTCGCACGCCGGGGGTCCAGGGATTGGGGTGGGGACACGCAGAATCTGCGTCTCACGCGGGCCCCACCAGGGGGGCGGACACGCAAAATCTGCGTGTCGCACGCCGGGGGTCCGGGGGCTGGGGTGGGGACACGCAGAATCTGCGTGTCACGCGGGCCCCACCAGGGGGGCGGACACGCAAAATCTGCGCGTCGCGCGCCGGGTGTCGGCCAGGGTGGGGACACGCAGAATCTGCGTGTCACGCGGGCCCAAAATCTGCGCGTCGCACGCCGGGGGTCCGGGGGCCGCGGTGGGGACACGCAGAATCTGCGTGTCACGCGGGCCCCACCAGGGGGGCGGACACGCGAAATCTGCGTGTCGCGCGCCGGGTGTCCCGGGGGCCGGGGTCGGGACACGCAGAATCTGCGTGTCACGCGGGCCCCAGCAGGAGAGGGCCAAGGGCAGGGGACCGTGGCGCTTCCGGAGGTCCAGAGGCTGGGGGCCAGGGCCGGGACATGCAGAATCTGCGTGTCACCTCGAGAACGCCGCGCAGGGACATGCAGAATTTGCGTGTCACGGATGCGTTCGCGTTTGCGCGACACGCGAAGCCTGCGTGTCACTCACTCGGTGGCCTTTCATGAGGCTTCAGACTGACGTGACACGGAACGCGCTCGGGGCGGCGTCGCGTAAGTAAACGTGACACGCGAATCCTGCGTGTCACCCGGAACGCGCTTGGGGCGGCCGGGCGACACGACACGCAGGATTTGCGTGTCGCGTAGACGTGACACGCAAATCCTGCGTGTCACAGGGAACGGCGACGACGTTGCTGTTGCCGTTCTTGATTTTGATCTTTTACGAGCGTAAGCAGAAGCTGCGCCTTGACGCCTTGAAGACACGTTGGGCGTAGCGCTTGAGCACATGCCTTCCCGTCGGCGTCTCTCACTTGCAATTCGTGGCCGGAATTGGAAATGACCGGAATTACAAATGACCAGAATTACAAATGAGTGCTCTGTACGTAGCATCCGAGTGTGGCCCGAGCCTCAGCATATTCAGCATTCGCCTTTGGATGGGTAACTACTGGGGGCCAATCCGCCGCCGCCACCGCCGCCTCCGCCGCCGCCGCCGCCGCCGCCGCTGCCGCCGCCGCCGCCGCCGCTGCCGCTACCGCCACCGCCGCCGCCGCCACCGCCGCCACCGCCGCCGCCGCCGCCGCCGCAGCCGCCGCCGCCGCAGCCGCCGCCGCAGCCGCCGCCGCCTCCGCCAACTGTACTCTGTATGTTTTTTTTGACAGGGATGGTGGGGGGGGGCGCATCGGGTTGGCTGCGCATGTTCCGAATTTGTTGGCAGAGTGTGTTGTGTATTGTTTTTTACAAGGGATCGTGTGTGGGGGGGGTGTCGTCATGGACCTGGGTTGGCCCCCAGTCGCCTGGGGGAGGGTGTGTTTATTAATAGGAACAGTGATCAACCCCTCCCCGAAAAGGGGAAGAAGGGGGTTGGAAAAGGAAACTCTGTAGATCACCGACACCCAGAGGGCTGGTGGGATTAGAATATGCCTCCTGTCCACGGAGTAATTGAGTGCGGTTACCCCGCCGTCTATCCAATTTGCAGGTTCCAATAGGAATCGAATTGTAATCTGCTTCGTATACACGGAGTAATCGAGTGCGATTACTCCGTGTATACAATATACAGGTGCCAATCGGAATCCAAATATAATCTGCCTCGGATACACGGACTAACCGACTGCGATTATTCCGTGTATCCAATATGCGGTTTGCAATACGAATCCAATCTTCATCTGCTTCGGATACACGGAGTAACCGAGTGCGATTACTCCGTGCATCCAATATGCAGATTCCAATAGGAGTCCACTTAGACTTTGCCTCGGGTGCACGGAGTAATCGAGTGCGATTTTCCGTTTATCCAATATGCAGGTTCCAATAATAATCCAGTGAGAATCTGCTTCGGATACACGGGGTAATTGAGTGCGATTACTCCGTGTATCCAATATGCAGGGTCCAATAGGAATCCAAGTATAATCTGCTTCTGATACACGGAGTAATCGAGTGCGATTACTCCGTGTATCTTATATGCAGGTTGCAATAGGAATCCAATTCGAATCCTCCTCGGGTGCATTGAGTAATCGGGTGCGATTACTCCGTGTATACAATGTGCAGGTTCCAATAGGAATCCACGTATAATCTGCTTCGGATACACGGAGTCATTGAGTGCGATTATTCAGTGTAGCCAATCTGCAAGTTCCACTAGGAATCCAATTATAATCTGCCTCGTATTCACGGAGTAATCGACTGCGATTACTCCGTATTCAATATACAGGTGCCAATCGGAATCCAAATATAATCTGCCTCGGATGCACGGACTAATCGACTGCGATTATTCCGTGTATCCAATATGCGGGTTGCAATATGAATCCAATTTTAATCTGCTTCGGATACACGGTGTAACCGAGTTCGATTACTCCGTGTATCCAATATGCAGGAGTAATCGAGTTCGAATATTTCGTTTATCCAATATGCAGGTTCCAATCGGAATCAAATTCGAATCTGCCTCGGATACACAGAGTAACCGAGGTCGATTACTCCGTGTATGCCGTGCTCCAGCCGGCGTCGCAGGTGCGCCAGCTACGGGGAATCAATAGGAACCCCAGGTGCCCTGGCCCCAAGGAGTTCAGAATCTTGTTCCCCTGAAGCGAAGTGCCGAGCATTCTGTGAGAAGGGCGTCTCCTCCAGGGAGCGCAAAGCACCAACACCGATGGACACATTGACATCCTGAGGAGTCGTGAAACAGATGAGAGCTCATAGAAATGAGAGCCTTGCGCATGCTATTGATTTGGAGCCAAAGTCTTATATATTTTGTTGTCGTTTTTGTTTTGTTGTTTCTGTTATTGTTGTTGTGGTTGTGGTTGTGGTTGTGGTTGTTGTTGTATGTCTTGTGGTCGCGGGGCGCCCGCGCATCCGCCAGATTTCGAGGCAAAGTGCATTGTGTATTGTTTTTACAAGGGATGGTGGTGGTGGTGGTGGTAGGGGGGGCGGCTCATTGGTCCGGGTTGGCTGCCGGTCGCCTGGGGGAGGGGGTGTTTTTTTTTAGGGGACAGTGATACATCTTTCCCCCGAGCAGGGCAAAGAAGGGTTTTGGGC